ATGATGCTCTAAGTTAATGCAGCAGACCTCTGAAAACTCAGTTTATTACAGAAGGGCTTTATCTCAGTGACCAAGCACTGTTCAGCAGATGATGGGTCATGGTTCTTATCCCATTACTTAGATGGTGGTTTGTTCTACTCCAAATAGTAGCCCCCTCTAGAGTCCATTGGTCTTTTGGAGAAGAGGTGGTCAAATTCACTGAGTAATGTAACAAACTCATTTTCCACATAATACCGTTGCTAAACAGACTTACGCTACAGGCGGCATAAGTTCACAGCATGTTAACAAATACCTTGTGTTGTCCAGACAGTGTAAAAGGTTCTTTACCGGTTGGAAACAACCAAAAAGCTAAATTTCAGGCTCATTCTAATCCCTATACTAAGGGATTTGCTTCATAGCTAGAAAGCTCACCAGTCAACTGCAATGTTTGTATTCAGTTTGAGCCTTCATTCATACAGGTTTTCTGAAGCTTTGTTTTTCATTTTTTTCATTCTTTTGTTTGTTTGTTTTGAGGAAGGGGCTATGTGAGCTTTGTGTTATCTGCTTTGGATTCATGCTATGGCAACACTCTTACGCAGTGCATAAATAATAGTGTAGTATGCTGTTGTCATGATTTATTCAACTTTTTCTTCAACAGTGACCCAAAACCAGTAGCACAGAAATGAGTGCAACAAGGAATATAGCATTTCTATAGCATCTTCTATAGCATTACTGCTAAGACTGCTAGATTTTAGCACATTTAATAACAACAGTCTAGCCTTACACTTTATCTCCATACTCTTTTTTTTTTAACTGAGCATTTAAAACTACATGTTTATTCTAAAAGTTAAATAATTTAATCTTATGGTGATTACACAAGCATGTCTTTGTTTTTTAATAACTTTACAGTCTCCTGAAATAGTCCTGTTCTTTCTGAATTTACTCAGTTGTAACAATCACAAAACAGATTTGTTTGTAAACAACTCAGGCAACAGTTCAAGACATGGAAAATTAATTAATGGAAAAACTAATGGGCAGGATATTAATACAACTAACAACAAAACTAACTTCTATGATTCTACTTTAAAAATAAAACATTTTGTTATACAGAATACAGAGAAGTCCCCAAATTTGTCACACTGAAGTTGAGTCCTTGAAAGAATGTAGAACTACTGCTTCAGATGATGTCAGCACATAACCTTTCTATGCATTTCACTGAAAACGTGGACACAGTCCGTAATTATGTTGTTTTACGGCAACAGTTGCCTCAAATGCTTGCTACAATTACATGGGATTTGACACACCCAAGTCACCACCTAGACAACTCCAGGTGTGGCCACTGTTCCAGACCTTCCTGTGACCAATCACATGCAACAGCTCTACCGATCATAATGACTGGAGAACCAGGGGTATCCAACACGCAGCATGTGTTCTTAAGGCTAGATTAAAACGGTGTAAGAGTCACACCAGTTGAAGACCATACAGCTGAATGTCACCTTGGCACTGATATTAAATGTCTCTTAAAGATATCACTGACAATATATTAGAAAACTTTCCCACAGTACAGAAGTGATGGATCTTCAGGATCTCCCTTCACTTCTCAGGTGACATCAATTCAGCAATTAAAAAAAAAAAAAAAATACATCAGTAAGCCCGTAGGTCATCCTCTCCAGCAGAACTAGTTAATGATTCACAGGAATTAGTAAAATGCAACCCATCAGTACTCTCTCTCTCTGATGGCTTTCACAGAGAGTTCTCTGGCGATTCACTGAATTCATTTTTAAAAGTCAGGGTTTGGAATTCTTTATTCACTTTCTACACTCAATGAGCTGGAAAACCAGATTTTCACTTAATCTAAAATACTATACGCTATCATCAGTTCTCTATATAAATGTAGCGTAACAGATTTAAGACAAAAATCTTGTGAAAATATTTCACATTACAAAGTAATTTTAAGAAAAAATATTGAAATATCATTTTCTGTAAAGTAGTAGTCATGAAAAAATATTTCTGACCACTTTTCAAATTTCGAAACAAAGTGTAATAAAATTCTTGTTCCTTTCATAAGTGAAAACAACAAAGTGAAAGCTATTAATAATTTTAATTCAAAGCCAAATATCACAATATTTACCTTGCAGACTTGTAAACTAGTCTTAGGAGAGAACGTCTAGATATGTAACCCTCAAGATCACATTCAATTAGCAGTCCTAAAACTGCTGTTTGGAAGATATCTTCATCCTTCCAAAAAGATATCCAGTTTCACATGAACTTTATGAATCTCACAAATTTCAGTAAAATTACAAAACCATTCAACAAAAACGTAATTTTAAAAAATCATCTCATTAAATAGTGAATCTGCTGACATCTTCATTTGCCAGATTTTGAGTAAAACAAAGTGCGAAAACTGAATAAAATCCACAAATAACTATATGCAGCTCCATTGCAAGTCACCATAATATCAGAAAGTAAGACTTATTTAGTTTAACTATGCATACTTTCAAGTTCTGCCTTCTCAACACAGTTCCTAAAAAGAAGCATGGGTAGATGTAGTCACTTCCCTCTACTAAACAAAGATATTAAGAGAAAAATAGAATGAATAAATACTGGACAAATTAAAAGAACCAAGCAGAATGTCACTACAGTATGAAGCCATGGAAGCAAAGTACATCTTTGATGGGCTAACCAAGTCTGAAGACATTTAAAGTGAGTAATTTTTAATAGTTTCCAGTACATTACCAGAAACAGTGAACTGTTGCTACTCTGCAAAAGACAAGTTCCAAACTTGTTTTGTTACAGTGTCCATTACACACAGTTTTAGACTGCATGCTCATCTGCCCTCACAAAAATCACACCAAAGTTTTACACTTTTAATTAATATACTTATGAATAACAGAAGTCAAAGCAAGATGGTAAAGCCCAGGAGCAAAGGTCATTATGTGCATGCCTTTTATGTTCTACAATGGTTTCATCTATCTCAGTAAATAAGTCAGCATTGTGCCTGAACTGAGGACAAAAATAATTACACGCTCTGCTCACATCCTACAGATAGCTGGAAGAAAAGTGGTTTCCTTTCATTCTAATGTCTCCCACTTCTCAGGAAGGCACAAACACAATCCCTTTGTTCAAAATGCATTTCCAACAGATGGCAACAAGTTACTGCCAACGAACAGGTGCTGACCTTCCACTTCCTGACCTGGCCACTTTATTTTTTCCCCTCTTCTCTCTTCTAAGACTGGCACAGGTATTAATTTGGGTCAATACAGTTTATTAGGCAGCAAAAGCTTTTATCATACTGAACGACACTCAACAGTTGATCAAAATCTAGCTCCTTTCCTGTCCCCACTGTAATCCTCTAATGTATAACAGCACATTTCTCCCCACCTCCCAAAAACACAAAGTTGAACAAAACTGACATAAATACATAAATACATAAATTATGTACTGTTACGAAATTATGCAAATCATCTCTGTTTATTGATAAGGAAGAAGGTAAAACCAACTAGTTTTCTAACTGAATAGTTTTGAAGAAGGTTCTTTACAAAGCATTTGAAGAAATGTGGCAAGAGCTAGCAGCGTCAGCATATTACTTGTCATTAATATTCTCCACTTTATGATCATAGGTTGCCAACAAAGTCAAAACATCTCTAAGTATTCACACTGTATTATGACTTAAGGATTCATCCAGATGTGTCACAAATGGACTGCACTACTTTCAAACGAGAAAAAGACATCAAACACGAAGAAAAATTCCAGCCTTTTCTAAAAACCAGCTCTGATATTCCAAAGAACTAAAACCAAATTCTTGAGTTTCATGACTTAGTTTACCTGCTCTTAGGCAGCACACATCCAGTATCCTTCACAGTCAAAAAATGCTGGTCTGTTTCAGATGTCTCTCTCTTTAAATAATAAAACTAAACACAGCAAGAAGTTCATTATGGTGAGAACGGATATTTCAAGCCTGTATGTTCCATATTTTGTATCAAAAAAAAAAATCAGTTAGGGACCCTGCATTTAACATCTGAAGATGTAAAAAGCATAATCTCCACAGCGTAACAAGAAGCCTCAGCTCAACTTACTCAAGAACAATTACTGCACTTTGCCCAAAGCCCCTCGCTCCACAAGAGTTGAAGCTATTCTAAACGGGCACTGCTAGCCCCATCCTGATGTACTGAAGTGTTTGCCAGCCAGTTCATGGTTCCTAAAAGCTACAGGAAATTTCCAGCTTTAGTTTTCAGCTGGCTTAGCCCTGAACCAAGTTGTCATAGTCGTTTAAATCACCAGTAACTGCTACAAGGAAGGGAGAGAGTATGTCTAGCCAGGGCTGTACAAGTGGTACCAAACAGCAAGTGTTGACGGAAATTGTCTTAAGAGCAGCCTGAGACACCTGAAGGAGTCAAATTTCCTGATGAGCAGTAGCACTCACAGGCTGACTGATTTTAAAACTGCAGCCGTAACAGATAGCTCCTTCCTGTACCTCCAACACAGCCTTAAGAGCAAAAAAATACTAATTTAAAACACAAGTGATACCTTTAGGGGAAACTCGACATGAGCTATCAGAAATTTCCCCAGTAGAGAAGTAATTACAGGTTTAAAACACAGTAAATAAGAGGTTGTCTAATTGCCCTTAGTGAGAATGCTGAAGAGCTGATTCAAACACCAGCAGATGGAGGTAGGAAATACTACCAACTATTTAAAAAAAAAAAAAAAGACAAAAGAAAAAATCACTACGATGAATTACCCAAGACAATTCATATTTTGAAAATAGGCTAAAAAAAAAATTCAGCAACTATTAGCACAAAAACCTTACTAATATTAAACTTGTTTATTTTCACACCAATTAGGTATTGCAACAGCATGTGGCCTGTCAGTAATGACTAAAAGCTTATATCATCAAGCACATAAAGCAAATTCACCGTTTAGTGAAGGAGAGGCTGAGATACTTTTTAACCAGGGTCTCCTCAAACATAGGTGATTTGCAAAAACTTACTGGAATGTTTACAAGAAGTAAAACATTTACTTGCCTCTACCTCCAAAACTGCTGGATCATGGCTGTCTCTGCTCTTAAAGAAGACCTGAAAAGCAAAAAAAAATTGGGCTTGTGCCCTATTTTGCTTCTTAAAGATGTTTAAGACAGGCATGAAGAGTTGGAATTAGTTTTTTTATTTTATCATCCTGTGATGGATGCAATTTATTCCTGCTTGTTTACACTTGAGATTGAAATCCCAAGAAGCCCTAAAATAATCTAGCTAAGGGAAAAGAATGCAAAAATCAACAGAAGCTAAGTCACAGAAGAGCAAACTTCAGTTTTCTTCCCTTCACTCCCACCTCAGAGTTTTTCATTTAAGTGACAAATAACACAGAATCCCTTTCCAGAGTTAAGTATTCCTACACCACTGGTGATTTGCACAGTTTTATGAATTAACAATAGACATGCTAAAAAAACCCTAAACAACCAAACAAAATCAGAAATTTAACTGAGGCTGTATTTTAAAATTTTGAGATAAAAAGCAATTGGGGCAAAAACCCCCAAAGCTCAAGTCCTTTTCAGGGCTTCTTTGTATTTCAAAACAGCAAAATAAGTAGAAAAACCATTTTTAGTAGTTCTTTGCAAATGGGAAAGATTGAAAAAAACCATGAGCTGGCTAGCTATAAAAGGGAGACAAACATGACTTTCTCTTCCACTACTAAAATGCTTCTAAGACAGTTGGTATGGATGCTGCAGTGATGCAGTTACCAGAATATAAAAGCTGCTGCCAACAGTTTTTCTAAAAAAAAAAATAGCGCTTTTCATCTGTTGTAGTCAATGTTCCAAGTGAAGTGAAATCAGGGAACTTGCTGAGGTTCCCTCATCATTACATACATGGAATGTGATGTTGCTGAAATGCTCGATCAGTATTAGACAGCCTTGATAAGAGAGTATTATAATTTGATATACTCAGATAGGAACACCTGGTGATGCAAAGTGCAGTATAATAAGTATTTCTTTCAGGGACAGCACTGGCTTAAGCAACTTACTCAGATAATGTGAATTCTGCACAACTCCTGTTGTATTATCAACAATTAGAATGTTACTTCTCCAGATACAACAAGTAGCAGGCACCAATTCAAACAGAACTGGCACAGAATTAAATGGTGGTGTAATTCAAAGATGGGTTGTTTTTCTGAAACACGTTTTTGTTGTTCGAGGGGGTTGGTACGTTTATTTTTCTTGGGAAGGTGTGGGAGTGGAGGGGTGTGGTGTGTTTGCTGTGTTTTCTTCCTGCCATAGATGAATTGAAAGTAATGAAAATTAAAGGGGAAAAAGAAAGGAAAGCATTCATCTTTAAAATATTGAAAATAAAGTATTAGAAAATAAGTCAGAATTAAGAAAATCAAGTTTAGGTCAAAAGAGTAGCTTAGATGTCTACAAAGCATAAGATTCCAGGATCATACACAAAACACTTGTTTCGAAGTTATAAAGAAAAAAATTCACAGAACTATATTGCTCTCTCCTTTCTGCTGAACAAGAATCCTTTTCATCAAAAACTTCTTACTTTACTGGTTGACATTAACCATGAAATAGCATACTAGGAGTTAAAGTAAGAACATTTTAATGCAGACACCAATGTATGTTATATCATGGAATGGGAAGTTTAAGGGTACAAGTTAAGTTTATTTAACAGCCAGCTCCCACTGAGAATAGTGGTCCTGACTCTGCTACTTCCGCTGAGCTGCCCCTGTTGCTTAGACAAGTCTGTGGGGCAAATTTAAGATATTTACAAACTCCATTCATTTCTGAAGACACACATGAAACAGTGGGAACAGACATCCTAAGGATTTTAATGGGAGCTGACCATTAGATCAATCCAAATGCAATGCCATACGACCCACAGAAAACCTTCTGTGAGATTGTGTCCTTTGAGGACTACTAATGTGATTAAGTTAGAGAGCTCAGGCATTACTCTTCTTAAAGGGTGTGCAAGCTTCCTCAATCCTGCATAATTTGATGAAAATTTAAGTAAGGACCCTTTGAATTAAATGCTGATTTAAGGACATCTCTGGTTATTTCAATACCCATTATACCACCCACTTAAAGAAAAGTGTATTTATATTGTGTCAAATTCACTTTGAGATTAGCAAAAATAAAAGTGACACAAAAATATCATACCATTTCAGTAACATTTTTAATATGCTTTTTACTATGCAATATATCCTACCCATGCAACTACTTAATACAAAAATATGAAACCCCATTTAAATGTTAGCAGTGACTAAAAGACTTTTGAAAATAGCTGAGAAGTAAGTCATAATATCTCAACTACCTGTTTCAATGCTGTTCTCCACAGTAGCACACAGTAATCAAATCTATCTTATGCTGTAATTTACAAACGATACCTAGATCCTATACTCAGAAGTTCTTGTTGCAAAACCATACGGTCTAACAGGAAAAGGCACCTTCAGTAAAAATTGCTCAGAAAAGTCTGAAGAAATGATCCGAAAAAGTTGCTGGGATTTTTTTTCCTCTGTTAGCAAAGCATGTCTTAGCTTTAACTACTTAACAAAGCTGCAACAATACCCAAAAAAAGCAAAAACTAAGTTTTTAGTTCAAGTTGCACTCCGCCAAAACATATACAGCCTAACCTCTGTGTCCTCCCTGCTCCATTCTCAACCCTTGCCCTGCAGGAAGGGTTACCAAGATGTATCCCACATCTTTGTAATGGAGATAATAAAGTCTGAAACCAGCTGCAATAAAATCTTAGTGACTAAACTGACTTAGTGGACAATATACAATTATTTAACATAACACTCAAGCTCCACAAGGCAAGAAAGGCATACATTTAACTGCAGTGCATGGGAAGTAAAAAGTAGGCACAGCTTGTCTTCTGTGAAGAAGTTAAAACAGATTAACAACATAAAACATACAGACAAATAAAAGGATAAACAAAGCACTTAAAGCCGTCATCTTTGAGACATGAGTTGTCTCAATGTGAGATGTGAAATGTTATATATATATATAAACTGGTTTAACAGCTTTCTCTAACATAAAACACCACATACAAGTAACTCACCTACTGGAGTTTAAAATCCTGCCCCATCTGAGGCAGGAGGTGTTATTCCAATTCTTTACTCTGAAGATACCAGTAAATAAACCCTTAAATCTGATAACCAAATAGTACATAAAAATACTTCGAAAATTCAAAACCACAGGCATGCAAACAGTTTTTCCAAATATACATACATAGGCATTGGCACTAAGAAAATAAAGACTTAAACTAAGGAATAAAGTTTGCACTGTATGTATCCACTGAAAGCCTAAAGAACTGAATTAACTCTGAATAAGTATGCAACATTTGAAACTCCAGGCACAGAAATAACTAGTACACAGCTGCACACTGAGCTTTTCACTTATGTATTTCAAGTGTTTTTGGTGGTATGTTGACAACAATCCACTGCCCTGTTAACTAAGTCATCTCAGGATGCAGAATGAATGGATTTCAGTAAGTTCTGTATGTCCAAATATTCATCAGCAAGTAGCTATGTAACTTTTAACAGTACAACCACTATAACTACTGGTATGAAGACTGAACAGAAAGGAATTCAAAGATGTAAAATATCTAGTTTGATACCTACAAAAATTACTCTTCACAGTTGCAGAAAGGAAGAAACTGCCTTTTAACATAGAAAATGTATTTGTAAAAATCAGACAAAGCAGTGTTTATGAATACATTTGGGGAGGGAGGAGAGTAGCATGCCTTCTGCTACTGTTGTTACTATTGCATGGAGACTTAAGACCTTGTTCTCAGTTTCCTCCTGATTTCTCAGACATGATCTTGTTCATCTCAAACTTGCGACAACATCTAATTTCCTATTGCTTACTGGTGAGATCATGCCTCACTTCCTTTTTTCTCTTTAAAAATCCTTGAAGCCCATCTCCAATTTGTTGCACAAATGGAACACATTCTACTTCTTCTCTTAAAACAAATCTCTCCATTTTACTAGATATTATAATAGAAATTCTATTCAGTACATCTTACTGTTATTCCCCTTTTTATATCTAAGCTTAGCTCCAAGTAATCTTCCAATTCCAGAGACTTTGACCAGAAGGAATCATTAGGATGATCTAATCTGGCCTCCAATATATCATTGGTCATTACTTTTCAACAGAAAAAGAACTGCTCTGACAGTAATCATTGCAAATTGGTTTAGAGCATATCCAAGGTCATCATAACTTGACTTTGCTAATACAAGGAATTAAAGTTTGTTTCTAGTTGGATTCTTCACATTTTCTTGAAGAGAATTCTGGACCACTCAAAATCTAATTTAAAAAAAATAATAATTAGTTTTGAGGTACAGACATTCCACGAGCTAAATGGTAAATTCTCCTTCCTTTGTCTCATGGTTTGAGCTAATTACGACCAATGCCGTTCAGTGATTTTATTTTTTAGCTCAGTCTCTTCTAAGAGGCCACACTTTTTGAAGTTAACAGCATGTTTTTGCAGAGACTCTCTGCTACTAGAGATGATAACACCCAATCATAGAATGGCCTAGGCTGGAAGGGACCTTAGCGATCATTTTAATCCAGCCTCCCTGCCGCCAGGGATGCTACCTCCCGACTAGATCAGGCAACATATGGGGACCAAACGGGAATCGAACCTGGGACCTTGGCGTTGTTAGCACCATGCTCAACTGACTGAGCTAACTGGCCTCCTAATGTTTGCAGTTATTACTAAGGACTGGTATGCAGTCACACTTGGTCACTGCTAAAACTCCTGTGCCACATTGGGCGTGCCAGGAAGTAGAGGAGTCGAAAGGAAGTAAAAATTTGCACCTCTGGGGAGGAATGGACAGGACAGGTGCCCCAAAACTGACCAATAAGAGTATTCAATCCCATTCCATATTCAGTATAAACCCAAAAAGGTTAAATCCTCCTTTTCCATGGCCAGGTCTGGGGAGGACTCCATCTGCTCTTCTGCCTTTGATCCTGATCCCGAGTTTCCCAATCCAGCTCCTACACGCAGGTCCCCGCCACCACTGAGCCTGGGGCTTCCCGGAGCCACCTGCTCTGCAGCATCAGTGGGGATTGCTATCAGGG